AGAGACTTTTCATAGAAGAATCAGATTCTGTTAATTCATTTTTACGGCACAAATACTCGAATCATCTCGGGATTAGCATGATATAAATACAGATCGTCAATCTGTCAATGATATAAATTTATCAAGAAATTAATAGACTGTAGTTTCTCTACTCGACTTATTAACATGTTTTATACGCGGAGTTAAACATATTTAACTTTATGATGTATAACATCATATAAATTATTTTCTTCACAAAAACAATTTAACGCGAATTTTCTTTTAAAAAATAAGATTTAACAAGATTTCTTAAGGCGTCGTATACAGGTGACACACAGAAAATACGGTTGTACAATTCTCTTACGGACGGCCAGCAATTCAGGAACGCTGGCGGGCGGCAACCAGGGAACGCTTATATTCGAGACTTCGAGATTCGAGGTGTCGAATTTTCGTGGTAGGCTTCCGTTTCGCCTGGCTCTCCAGGGTTTTGTGGGTATATCCCACTTCGTGAACGGCCGTCGGCTCATATATTTTACGGCGGCGCGCAGTAACTAACAATTCGTAGTTTGCGGCCCGCCGCTATATTTTCGTCAGTTCATTCCCGCGGGGCCCTCGAAAACCGCCGATTTATTGCCGAGGCCCCCTCCTCTCCTTTTTTCTTTCTGATTTGCCGATGTCTGTATGGCCGGTCTTCTTAGTTAAAACGCAAAATCGCTTCGCGTCCGATTATTCATAGATGATATCGATCGAATGAACGGTGAGACGCGAAACTGGACAAGAACCGATTTCTCTTTGGTTCACTTTGCTTAATAAGTGGCGTCGCTTTACCATTCGGAATCCGCAATTTTATTAATAAATCGTTTAATACGCGATATTAACATTTGTGTGAGGAGCATTGAACATTTATACCGTGGATAATTCGATTTCCGTTGAAATAAAATACGAGAGATTATGCAATATATAATATATAAATGCGTAACGCAAAATTAATCGGATAAAATGTATCAAATCGTAGTATAGAATAAAAGAGAATATAAAATACATACTAAAATAAAAATAAAACTAAAAATGGATAATGTATTTTATATACGCTGAGAAAAAAATTGTACAAATTCTTATTTTTTTTCATTGAAATATTTTATTTAAAATACGACATATTAAATCTATAAACATGACCTCTATTTAACTCAAAACTTAAATATTTCAATTGAAAAAAATAATAATTGAAAATATTTAAAGTCAAGTTTACAATTTTTTCTGCATTATAATATCATACACGTGCTAAGTAGAAACTTTAGCTCGGATGATTGCGATAGTAAAATTCTCCCGCGAGCAACATTAGTCGATCGCGATGGAAGTTTCGGGGAGAATCGTCTCGACTCGATGCTTGAACTTTTCAATTATCGATACAACGGGGGACGGGACGACGTTCTCGAGAGTTGTTACCTTCGCTCCGCCGGGAAGGGGAAGCGGGGGATTTCATTTGACATGAGAAAACGTTGCATTATTTAGAAAAGAGGCTTTTATCGCACCTGGGGGAAGATAAAGTTGACGGGTGAGAAGGGGAGGAGAGGGGAAGAGAGATAGGAACTCGCGATCGGCCGGCCATAACACCATCCCATGCTCATTCTCTTGGGAGGAGCACCGGCGAAGGTGTAAATTACGAACTCGTCTGACGGTGCGAGCTTGAAGTATTTGTTGAACCGCAGCGGCGTCCGCGTCTGCATTAGCGGCGTCTCTCTTTTATACGGCGTGCGCCGCACGAACGACTGGCGGAATACTTTGGCATAATTTATGAGTAAAATAAACTCGCCAACGAGCCATGAATATCTTCGACGGCGTAAATTCTACGCTGCCTGCCTTCCAGCTGGCACGAGCGACGACTCTTCGTCCTCGTCGTCGTCGTCGTCTTCCTCCTCGTTATTGCGGTAATGGTGCGTTACGACACGGACACATTTTTATCGTATCGCGGTAATCAATTGCGTTGCTTTAAGAGGAGAAAAATCGCCATTTCCAAAGTCGTCCCTTATGGCCCATCAACAAGTATTCTAAAAAATATCGATACGCATAGTAATGAAATCTTGTTCGCGAATATAGTAATTTATAATAGATATTGTTAAAAGTATATGTAGAGTGTAACTAGATATAATTTGTACAAATTTTGAAGGCGAATCCTACGTTTTGGAACAATAGAAAGGCTATATGAATATGGACTCTGAAAAGAATCTTCCTGTAGAGGTAACAATCATTTAAAAATGAAAAATCGCATGAGTCTTTTATTATTAACGCAAACAGCTTTAATTCTTAAAGAGGATTATCCAAATGTTCTTTTTGAGGAGTTACACAAGCTTTTTAATGAATTATCGCATATGATGAAAAGTACATGTTGCATACTGTTACGTAACCGCATAAATTATTGTCGCAAACTATCATTAATGTGAATTGAATATATTAGATTAGACGTTTTAAATGTATCGATACGTAAATATTAAATGGATTTAAATTTAGTGAGGAGAGATGAAAGAGAGAGAGAGAGAAGGAGGGAGCATGTAATTAATAATATATCTCTTTCTCAAAGTTTGTACAACCCTTTTATTATATTGATTTTATCACTTTTTTCTATATTGATTTTATCACGTATCAATTTTATAACTTGATATTATATAACATAATATTCTATAATATTGAAAATAAGATAAATTTGTAAAAATATTCATTTGTTTCTGTATACCTTTATTTTACAAATCATAATTGTATTTCAGAGAAATAAAATGTGGTAATTATTATACATATAATCGAGAAAAAGTTTATTAATTTAAAAATAAATAAACTGCATAATAAATAAATTTAATAAATTTATAATAAATATCGTCAATATCCATATTTGTGATATTTAAAGAGAAATCCAGCATATCAAAAGATTTACAATATTATGGTTTATAGCAACTCTTTCATTAAAACTAATGCGATCCACGCGTATATGCGTATAACATATATACAGATTGTCACGAAAATGGCCGCGTCACGTTCGAAAGGGAAGTAAAACCATGAGGAAAGACAAGCTCGGAGTGCGCGGCTTACGAATATGTAAACGAACGCGTTTATAAATTGCAGCCTAGACGAACGAACGTACACTGCGCCGACCATTATCGGCCAACCCTTTCGCTTCGGAAAGTGTTACGGCGTAATAGAAACCGACGCGATAACGTTATCTGCCACCGTGTAACGCGCTCTGTCTGCAGCGGAGTGATTAATACGAGGCTGCCGCCGACGACGTCCATCCCGTTTCTCGATTCACCGCCGCCGACGCCGACGTCGAGTGTAACCGGTGCGAGAGAGAGAAGGAGACGTTTATTTCCAAAAAGGAGCAACGAAGGATTATCGGGAGGAGTCATAAATCCTCCGTTCCGGGGCGGCGGGCTCGGGCGTGGGTGGAAACGAGCGGGAGAGTGCCCTGCGAATCCTTCGGGGCACTTGTGCGCGCGAATGTTACACCTGGTAGTGCTGAAAAATATTGGGGAATTAGCGCGCTAATTCGGAAGGTCTCTAATCGTCTTCCTCGTAACGGAGATAATTGTAGTGATAACTCCATTGCAATGACGCGGAATTAATTTGGCGCCTTTGCGATAATTGAATCAGAATGCGAACAATTCTCTCTCTCTCTCTCTCTCTCTCTCTCTCTCTCTCTCTCTCTCTCTCTCTCTCTCTCTCTCTCTCTCTTTCTCTCGTGTGAATAAATTAGGAAAATTACATTTTCTTTTTTAAAACGGGAAAACATGAGAACGTGGATTTTTCAGAGATTTTTTGCACCTGGAAAAATCAGGGAATTTTTGTAGAATTTTATTGAGGGAAGTCCTTTAGAAAAAATTCTCTCTTTGATAATTTTGCTCTTATAGTGTAATCAAGTCGGTAAGCCAACTGAATTATGCATGTGTGTTTAAAATATATTATAAATATGTATTATCTTTGTTGATATATTCAATGTCTTAGTTAGAATATAGCATATGCAGTTTATGTCTTTTAATTTGTAATTTTTAGTGATAAAAAATTTATAATGTTACGCAGGCAAAAAATCTTACAAAAGCTAACTAATTGTTTTCTTTTACACAAACACTTGAAACTTAAGTGGCTTTTTATTTTTCCTTCATAAGTGAAAACACAATAAAACGCTTATTTTAGAAACTTGCATTAAAAAAATTTTTTAAAAAAGCCACAGCTCTTTATTAGGATTTTGAACAAAAAACCTCAAAAAAGAGAAATTTTTTTTCCAAAATTTGAAAAGATATTTTGCAGAAAATTGTTTTATCAGGTTTAAAAATATTTAATAATACCTCAACACAAGGATATATAAAGCATGCATGTTTTTTTATTTTAATTTCAATAAAATCAGAGAATTTCCTGTTGAGATAATAAGGCGGTTGGAATAGTCAGATCGCATGGCTATTGATCGCACGAGAAACGAATCTCCCTGATCACCTACGCTAATCACAGAGCGAGCAATTACCGAGGATAACGATAATCACGTTACATCGGCGTGTGTTGGTTTGATTAGCTTCCGTTTGATTCCTTCTTCCTTGGCGAGCGATCGTTACTACCCGCGATCTAAACAATCGTTCAGTTCGCTCACGATTTGTCAATACGCAAACATACATGTGCGACGACGACGTCGCATGCGTTTGTGTTGACCAACGTGCGATTACAACTGTTCAATAATCCACTTGTCGATCACGTTTCATTAATTTCAGAAAATTGAAAGTTTCCCGTCTTCCTTTTATTTATTGAAGATCCCTCTGTATGAAAATTTAAACGTAAAATATTTTTTATACTTATGTAAAATTAAATTAAACTTTTATACCAATTATATTTCGAAAAAAAAAAAGAATTTATCAATTTTATCAAGAAAATTATATCACAAAAAAAATACACGAGTTATTACAATTGAATATAATTAATATTCAATTGTAATATTTACCTTCGCTATTTACATAACGTTAATCGAATATATATTTTTTTTTTTTCAGAACTACGGCTCTATCGTTCTCGACAATTTTTTAGTGGTAAAACACTTCCGCGGATAAAACTTCGCATGCTGCGAAACCAATTCACGATGAGCACTCGACAGGGACACGCTCCACCACCTCGTCCGCAAATGCAGCTGCCTACTCAAACTGTCCCCTCTCGCGCGCACGTGCGCAACCGGCTGCGTCCGTAATGTGTACGTAAGTATGTACGTGTAGTATTTTCAGAGAGGTTTCGGCTGTTGGTGGAGAGAGTTTGGCCTGTGCGCGACCGTTGAAAATCAATGTGGCCCGCGCGAATGAACGCGCGCCGCACACATAACGAAATCCGATTGTGTGTTTTCGAGATTTCAACAGGGCCGTTATTAAACGCGTGTTTGTTGCGTCCCGCATTTTTATATTATATACATTTTCCGCGCTCGCGCAACACATCGCGAAGCGATGTTATTAAAGAAACATTTTTCCCCGCTGTTTTCTCCCGGCGCCGTGAAATTCTGATCGGAATTTCATTCGAATTTATCGTCAGTCTCGGGCAAGATTAAATGTAGATGATACGATATTAAATTCGTCTCTGCGTGGGATTTTATCGTCCACGGCTCGCTGTAATATGCCGTTGATTCCACGTCGTTGCACATTGAAGATAACGAGAGCCGTGTCCGGGATTGTCTTTGGCAAAAATAAGATCGCGACTATACAGGTTTGTTTGAATATATGAATTTTTCATACGCGTTCGCGTTCGAATATGTGATTTCATCGTATATAGCTCACTCCCCGGGAGTCGTATCGATAAACACTTGTAGATACAATGTGCAGTCGCTCACTAGATCCGTACATACGTACTTCATTCTTTGTAGTAGCTTTATGCTTTATACATTCGCAAAAGAAAAAAGCTCGGGAAAAGCCAAGACTTTCTGTCCTTCTTTTATGCGATACAATCTGCCGAGACTTAAGACGCGAAATATTTTTCTAACATCTCATACTTTATTTACACTTTAAAAACCTCCTCAAAAACTCTAATGAATAAATTCATACTTTCCTCGCTTAATCGGAGAAATGTATTCCACATTTCTTATTTATCATTTATCATTCGCATAAAAAATTTATTTAATATATGTGAAAAACGCGATTACGTCGAATTGTGGGATCGAAAATCGTAGATGGTCCATTTACCATTAAATCGCCCGGTGGAAAGCTTTCAACGCGGGAAACAGATTTGTGTGACCCTACGGAAAAAAAAAAAATTTGCCGGGTTATCGCCCGCTTGCGAAATCCAGGAAAAGGGTCGAAAAAAAAGATCGGTGCAAGGGGAGACAATCGGAAAATGTCCGGTGACCCGCGGATACGCTCGCGTTTACGGTGATGCGTCATTATCAGCGACACCCGCCTCGGTTTTTCTGCGCGCCGATGGCGACGTCCGGGACACATACATACACACACGCACACACACATACACATACCACGCAATTCATCAAAGTAGCAGAAACAGAATGCGGGGCACGGCACGTACGTGCGGTATCTATCCGTCACGCAGGCGTGCGTGTACACACTTGGCAGCGGGCATGCACGCTTAGCATCCGTCGTGCGAATTCCCGACCTCCTCGGCACGACGCGATCCCTCCCGGATTGCGAAACGCAATCAAAAAGTTTTCGCGCCGCGGCACGGCCGCGCTTCCGGCTAATATCCGCGCGGGCAATGGAGCAGAGATAGTTCGGTGGTGGTGACAATTTCCAATCAGCGCGCGGAAATGGCGCGGGTGTCATAATATTTCGCGGGGGCGACATAGCTCTCTCCATTCCCTGCGTTTCTCTTCTCCACGCGAGCGCCGCCTCCCTTCTTCCATCCTCGCCACAGCTCGCCGTTATCGAGCATCTCAGACGGATATGAAATTCTCCGAGCCGCGGCCGCAAAATGGTATCCTACGGGTAAATTATTCCCCCAGCGTCTCCGGCCGCGCGGCTCTTCGCGGATATATTATATAATCTTAATCGGCGTTGCGCTTACTGATCTCCCCAGCCTTCGTCGTGACTGCGAGTCTGCGAATGCGAGCGGAATCGCTAGCTCTCGCAGACGCGAGCGAAAGCGCGGCGCCATTATTCAATCGTCGAGGCGGCCCAGATAGCACCGTGATCGAGCACGTACAACATTTTTCCTCCGGTCGACCACCCTCCTTGCACCCCCGCGCCACCCCGCCCCGTATCCCTGGATGGTTTGACCAAGGTACGACCCAGAATCAATATCCCGAATGTTGAGTCTGATGGATTTATGACCGTGAAAGGTGTCCAGGTCGCGGGCGAGTTTTGGCGTAAGAATTATCGGTGGGAAGATATTATGTCACGTCGTAGTCTCCGGAGAGAGGAAGGAGGGCGACAGAGATTTGAGGCCTGAAGAGGAAAGCTCGAAGATCGGCTCGCGTTATCGTGATGTATAGTTTCTCGTGAGATAAATTTCATAATTTAGCAAATGGTTGCGTTTGAACGTTTTAAATATGCCCAAAGTAGAAAACGATATATCTTGCGATCGATCGACTTGGCGATAATGATCATCAATTAGAAACCGATTGACGCAAGTCATTCCATTGATTAACGATAATTATAACAAATTTATATGCTTTGATATTCTTTGATATTATTAGCATGGCTAAATTGAAACTCTTTATTATTTTAATCGCATGCGAGTTTAGAATGTCAAACTGCCGGAATAAATGATGAATAGATTATAAATTATTCTATCTACAAAGTCTAGAAATCCCATTTATCGAATGTCGTCTCCAAGTTTTTTTTATCAATAATAGAATAATGGAGCATTTCCAAATCATCACATCGTATTTATTAGACGACGTACTTAAATAACTGTAACATTTAAAAAAAGAGAAATTATTTGTTTTTTTATATTCTTTGAATAGTATTAATTTTTTATCGTCTATGAAATTTCGTTAGTCTGTGCTGATATTTAATACGCCATCGTTCATTCATGAATGGCGTTTTTAGAAATAAAAGGCGCGTAGTAGAAGGCAAAAAAGCATACGTCGTCAAAATGGAATAAAATGGAAAACTATCGCATTGCTTTCAAGGCAGTTTGACATTATTGACATTAATCGTATATCATCGTCTCAATGGTCGACACGCTGTAAAAAGTTGCGCGCCATTTCTGGATAATTTCTGTGGTTCTGTGATTATTTCTCTCCGCTCATCCATTTCTCTCTCTCACCTGCATTTCGCCTAATTTCTCTAGCTTCTCGTTCTCCTCGAAAGGAGAGACGCATGGGTGCGAGCGATTATGTGTCGGCAAAAGCGAGAAGAGGAACGACAGAAGACCGAGGGAAGGCGAGGGCGCCGAATAATTAAACCCGGTAATGCCTGAGCATTAGAGCAGATGATGACGTCATCAAACGCCCGGTCCCCGACTTTCCGCCTCCTCGCCCTCTATCCGCCAAAATTTGCCCTCTGCGCAATCTTCCCCGCGTGGAAGAGTTTCCATAGTATTACCGTCATTACTCTTCCTTTACCCCATTTGCCCCTCACGGTCCTTCCACCCACGCTCTCCCCGTTTACCGTCCAGTCTCTTCGACTTAATATCCCCGAGAGTTAAAAACGTATGAGTTAAGGATAAAGTCGTCGGAAAATCTTATTTCCCAGAGGTGGGCGTGACGACGTAATCTTGCCTGAATTTTAACGACCGTGAGAATTTAAGATTTCTGTTATAACGGCATCGACTTGTAATTTTCGGCATTTGTTGCGAAGATCCCGGTAAAATTGACGAGCTAAATTGGCAGGTGCACGAAAACCGATTTAATCGTCCTTGCATGAAACGGCAAATTGACATCGATTCACCGCCTTACTATTCACGAAGTCCAACGTTCAAATTTAAAGATTATGTCAAGGTACAATATGTAATAGTCGTCTCAGTCAATTTTTTAAAAATATTATTGATGATAAATATATCATCCACGAATAGAATCCATCATTTATTAATGCGCACGCGATTATAGGAGCAACGCTCGACGAGTAGACGTGGCTGCCAGTTTATTTCTCGACAAAAGTGGCAAAAAAAACCTCGTTATAATTTTTTTTCTTGTCGGTGAACGTGCAGCATAACGGGGTGAGGGTGATTTCTGTCCGCAGAGAGCGAGGTAGAGAGAGAAAAATAGACAGAGAGAGAGCTAAAAGAGATCGACAGAGCGAACCTCATTCGGGGCTGTTAGGAAATAATTAATTCGAGCCCATCATGTCCGCGTACGGCCGAGCCTTATGTACGCTTCATGGTCGTACCATATGGTAATGCGCTTCAACCTGCGTGACATTTCGCCCTCTCCCCCTTGCTCTTCTTCTCGTCCCGTCCTCTTCCCATAGGTGCCGAGGGTTTTCGTGTTCCAGCTTGGTCCGTGATTCGTGCAAATTACGGTCGACGACGAATCTCTCCTACGTATGTACGTAACGTTGTCCGGTTGTCGTGATTTAGAGTCGACGTCGTCGGATAAGAAGTATGTCGATCCCCTTTACGGTATATTGCGGTCACTGCTCTATATAGAACATGCACGTCGGGCATGCACGTCTATAATAATAGTCCGTTCCATTATCGGTCTTCGTATGATGGTGAGATATTAATATTGGCGATATTAATATCTCCACGTGCTGTACGAGAGAAATAGGTTTACATATTTTATTAAACCCGAGTCGCGCATACTCGTAATGATCCGAGGGAGATAAAATATTTCTGAGAACGGTATCGCTTGACAGTTGATTGTTTCGGGGGGATTCGCAATCAAAAACTCGTCGAGGCAGACGCAATTTTTAAACCATCACGTGTCGAGTTACAAAAATAATTGTCCAGAGTTTGGAGAGGCGTCTTGGGGCCGTTACGTGAATTATAGATTTCCGCACTGCCTCGCATCGCGTATATTAGCGTCTTGGAGAAGAGAGAAAGGCGGATAAAAGGATTAGTGAAGTTTTCCCTTCTTTCCGGCGAGATCAGCCGAGCCGGAGAAAATGCTTCTACCGATACCACGAACGTTGACCGACGCGAAAGTTGGCCGTCGGTTAGAATTGTACGAGTGAACTCCGGCAAATGTCACGGTTCGACGGCTTAATCGATTCGGCTTATTTCGGCTTATTTGGCGGTTTGACGTCAAGGAACCAACGTGCCACGATATGCTCGTCCGACCGCGCGAAATGCATTCCTCGTAATTATGTTTAGCGCATTG